TCGCGTTCATACTTGCGAGCGCGTTCATACTTGCGATCGCGAAGTGTGAACGCGCTCTTTCAGTGAGCAGCCGGACCTTGTTCGCCGGGATGTTCAACTTTCTCCCAGTGACATGGCTGAAGGAACAAACGCATGTTTGTCGAAAAACACGAGGGTAATCTCAGGCGATGAATTTAACAATATTTGAGAATAACAGTGACAACAGTAGCATCAGGCACAAGCTGTCTGTCATTCCTCCCTCCCCCCACGCTTCACCGACAGAGACATCAACAGAAGACCTAGGTTTATGAGGAATCTGCGCAGCTTATACTCACTGGCTATCGTCAATTGAAAACATTGAACCACAATGCTTCAGAACTTTACCAACGGTTCATGACAGCAAACAATAATAACATTTATGTAAGAAACAAACGGGGTTCATAACAAGAAACAATCCCGTTTACTTCTTGGCAGCCTTCTTCACATCACTCTCCGATGACCTCGAAGCGGATGATCTTCTACGGGCAACTTTTTGATCCTTCACTTCCTGAAAACAAATGCCATGAGGAACATACCGAGCATCAGCAGAAGTCTCATCAGCCCACCTTTGCGAACTTGGTCATGAGCTTGTGATACGCAGCAGCTTCTTCACGAGACTTGTTACGCTGCTGAATCTTCTTTCTAAGGAGAGCCTTACGTCTACCAATTACTGTTGGCGTAATGAGTCTCTGGATTTTGGGTGCGATAACACGGGGCGGCTTTCCTGAACACATTCAGATCAAATTAGTTGTTATGCGAAATAACGTCTGAAAGTGCTTTGGAATTTATGTTATCTAGCTGCGAGCCCAAAGCCATATGATACAGAAGCATTGGGCCGCATTTACACTTGCAGATCCGCGTACTCCGCAGAACGCGCGAATCTGCGTATATAGATGCGACCTTGCACTTATGTAAGAATGCGCCTTACACTCATGTAAGAGGCTAGAGGTAATGCTGCAGATTGTTGCTATAGCTCTCCTCTTGCTCAATCACTACGTAATGTAGGAATTGTGTACAAAAGAGCAGAAAAACAATGATTAAGAAAGATTCTGGGTGATGACGTACTTTGTTACATCGTCCTCCTTAGAAAGGTTGAACAGCTTGCGAATCTTCGTCGCTCTTTTGGGACCCAAACGACGTGGAAGAACCTTGTCCGTCAGACCTTCGATATCTTGATCTCCTAAAAATTCGAGGATAACTGTAGATCACTAAGTGTTGTGTGCTGGGTATCTAAAATGAAGACGTATTTCAACAAATGAATGCTTATCACAGTCTACCTTCGAAAAATGAAAGGGTAAGGAATGTCCCTGTCCCGACGACATACTACGCGGCGTCAAATCGTGGGCAGTGGGATCTAGGGAGCTAATTAGCACGGTAAAGGACGGCGTGAAGGCATTTTTTTGGTGAATGATTAGATTTAGATCTGGTTACTTGTTATGCAAAATTACAAGTCTAACAGTCCTTCCGATTTTATGTTATCTAGCTACGAACCTAAAGCCATATGGTACAGAAGCATGACACTTAAGTCAGAGGCTAAAGGCAGATACTGTAGATAGTTGCTCTAGCTCTTCGTTTGCTCAATCACTACATAATGTAGAAATTGTTTGCAGAAGAGCAGAAAACAAGATGATGAAATGATGAAGAAAGAATCACAGAACCCGTGTTCCAGATCTGCTGCGAACACAATGAAACGGAGGTTCTTTAGAAGGGAGTGCACCTACACCAAATATGAATTTCGTAATGCTTTGCTTGAAACCTTTGCTCAAAGGTGATGTGGTTGGTTTCATGCCTCCCATTCGATTGCCGTTTGACGCAGGCTTTCTTACTTTCAGAGCAGCTCTTCACGTCCGAATTTTATTTTGTGTGTGATATGCTCCTCCAAGAAGCTCCGCTAGTTTCATTGAGAGGGATCTGCAGCAGATTGGGAGAAAGGTTTGTATCACCGCCCAAAGACAAGTTAGAAGGTATCCAACTCATTTCAAACGGTCGCTTCAACCCACCATTCTTCTTTCGTAGAAATTTCGGAAGTGAAAAATAAAGAAAAATGATGAAAAAAAGAAACAGAAGTGCTCAAATGATCGCTTGCAATATATTTCACCGCGGTGGCGCGCATCCCACCATTACACACTTTTTTCTAATCTCACCAGGAAAGGTCAACAGGTCAGCCCGGCCATATGCAATGAGATGCACATCATTGTACTCATCTTGACACGGTGAACTCGAAACTATCTTCAAAATTTGCGGAACGATTCTCTGAGCGGAGTTATGGAAGTTTTTTACTGTTTTTCTTCTTCCAGGCGCGCTGGCGCCGAAGCGTTGGCACCTGTAGCGCGACTCACAGCGCTCTTCGCGCAGAATAGCTATCATATTCGTGTTCAGGGGGTCAAATAACCCCTAGAGACGTCACCTTAGCGAAATCTGAGGTTCTGACTCAACTTCGAAAAAATGGGGTATGGATAGTCATGGCTGACTGATAGCTAACAGCGATACTATGACTAGCATACTGGTGATGACTGGTCTTCGAACTGAAATAACTCTTCAGTCATGTCTTTTCGCAAACAACAGTACCTGGCTTACTTATTTGTGCCGTCTGCATCATTTTCCTGATTACTGGGGAAATTCCATTCCGAGACCAGTCATCGATGGTAGGTGAGCTCCAAACTGCTGCTAATTACCCATGGAATAACTCACATTTTCCAAGTTAGGTCGAAATATCAGATTCGGCTAGAAACTTGTCCCCAGGGGTAATTTAACCCGCTGAACATGAATATGATGGTATTTCATTGCAAAAACCCTTGTGACATGTGCTACGGGGGGGGACAAGCACGAGCACTCTTTCAGGCCATAATGGGTCTACACTTTCGAAAAAACTGGTCGCAGTTTCCTTACAGGATAGTGCAGGCGAGCAGAGATGTTAGAAGCTTTGTCGGCCATGTTCTTGGACAAATGCAAAAAAGGCACCCTGCCGAGAACCGATCCTACGACGTCTCGCCTAGTAAACCCGCTCGCTATCCGTTGCGCTCTACTGCCACGTTTCAGTGACTCCATTCTTGTATATAAAGACGCTTCCACGTTTCCTCGCGATAGCATGTGAAACAACCACGCGGGGATAAAACCCTCCATAACTCCGTTCAGAGAGTCGTTCCGCAAATTCTGAAGGTAGATTCGAGTTCACCGTCCCAAGACTCGTACAACGGTGTGCACCTCATTGGAAATGGCCGGGCTGACCTGTTGACCTTTCCTGGTCAGCCCAAGCTATCCGTAGCCTTAGCTATCCGCTCAGAGCACCATAGGCAAGAACTGTCAGCGTTACTAATTAATATCATGGCGATGGACTATGGACGTTATTAACGCCCCAGAATGATACCACTATACGATTGCCGATCGGCTAGAAACACATCGAACTGTTTTTTTTCCTGAAATCCTACTATTCTAGATCTACCGATGGGAACAAAAAACCTGAGGTCATAGTACCTGGCAGTGTGCAAAATGAGCTGAGATTGCTGAGAAATTACAACTTTAATACAAAAAGTAGCTACTGATTGAGTACAATCAGCCATGTCGGCAGAACACAGGCCGCATATTACTTCAACAACCGCAAGATCGCACTACACCTAGCCCCCTCTTTTTCAAAAGCCGCAAAAGAAGTGTCGCAAAAGAAGCGGTTGCCAACCCAAGAAGTTCCAAGCTGGCAGTCAAGCGCTTCTAGGATACAGTACGGAAGCCAAATACATGCTGTGTTTCACAAGTACTCGTCAGCACCCAACCACAACCGTTTGTTGTCATGTTTCACCGCTCCCTGCTTCGTGGTCACCAAAAAATGAAACCAGAATCTTTTCTTTCGTGGTGATGGGTATGGGGTTTATTTCCATCCCAATGTAATTAGCGCCGAACCCAGATAACAACTTGAGGATGAGCTTTCCAATGGAAATAAAAATGATGAAGTAATCGGAATTGCCTTCAAAAGGCCATAGTGAAACACTGTTGCGATAGTCGAAACCATGCGCAAAAGCCGACAGAACAAGACGACAGACTAACTGCCGCAGCGCTCTCGCGACTCACTTGGAGTCGTGAAAGTGGGGAAGCTTTGATGCTGCTAGTTTATATATAGTATAGTTTTCTCATACCTGACTACCGGTATGAGAAAACTATTCCATGATTCAGGAATGACGGAATGTGTCTTTAAAACATCTTCAACCATTTCAAAAAACAATTCAATTCACACGGTCGATGAAACACACATATAACTCGCCAAAAGAGCTAAACCATGTTGGCCCCAGTTTCCCCCTATGACCCTACAGTTTACATAATCCAAAAAAGTGAAAGTACTGCGAAAAAAGCATTGTGGTTTTGAGAATAGCGCTAACCATCCTTTGGATTAACTGCAAGGCCGCTCCCCGGTCTTTTCACACTGCGATGATCATCACTGGGCGAATCTGCACAAATTCATCCATCCAATAATGTCCCAATAAGTTCTCAACAGCCACCTTGAGGCTGCGTTTATACTTTGCGTCAGCATACGCCACAGTTCTGAGCGTACGACAGTGCCAGCGACTAGGAAAGAATAGACATCGATCTAGCGTACGCCAGCGTTTTCGCGGGCGGTTTTGCGGCTCAAACTAGCTGCGAAAACGCTGCTGTACGCTGACAAAGGCTACGCTCGGTACCTACACTTTCCTAGAAGCTAGAAACGCTGCCGTACGCTGATGCACCCTGCGGAGACGTATCTTCAAAAACCTTGAAAACCTCACCAACTTAAGTTTCCTAATCGTAAATGATAAAAAAAAAAAAGGTTATATAGAGCACCTAAAAAGCACTTGGCAAACGTATGACAGCATGCACAGGACTGTGCCATTCTATGGCAAGCGTCATAGCGATTCTCGTAAAGATAGAAAAAGAGAACAAGTAAGAAAATTGTAAGCATTTCCCTATTAGGATTGCGCTCACCTTTCTTCACAACAACGAGGGAAAGGACGGAAAGGTTAGCGTCAACAATGCATCCACGAACAGATTTCCTCTTTCGCTCTCCAGCTTTTCTCGGTCGGTAACACGAGTCACCCTTAGCGAGAAGCAGGCGGACTCGTCCATTGCTCAGCACTCCTTGCTTCATGGGGAATCCTTGTTTGTCATTTCCACCGGTGATGCGAACAATGTATCCCTAAATAAAGTGTAATTAGAGAATCAGAGGACACAGAAGTGAACCGCCAGCGATGCGACCCCTTTCAAATTATTTTTTCCCGCGCATAGAAAAAAACGCTTTTCCAGTCATACGCACATTGTTCTTATCATGAATCATAAAGACAATGACTTGTTCGAGTTTCGGTTTCATTGCACGGACGAAACAGGAAGTGAACACTTTCTTGTGTTTTCCCTATCAAGGCTCATTGAATAACCCTCAGCAATAAGGATGACAAAGTCGCCTTTACAATAAGTAGTGAAGGCGCTGCGGCCTTCATATGTGACGGTTCTCACGCCTCCCTGGTTGTCGCGCCCCCCAAAAACCAAAAGCTGTTTTTTGTCATGAATTTAGTCATTGACGGACGTTTTTCGCTTTTTTTAGTAGCAGATGGTGCAAGATGACGCGAAGAAACGATTAGTGAGCAAGAAGCTGCAGGAAATCGCTTAGCTAGCAATAAAACGAGTAGGCCTGGGAAACTCGTGCACTCATGCTGCAAAGGGTCCTTACTTAAGATGTTCTACAAGACTTTTTCGCTTCGATCTTTCCTATAGGCCACTTGGCGACTATGGCTTTG